TACAACATTCTCCAAGTATTTTTTTTAAATAAAAACACAAAGTAACAAACACTTTTGTTTCAGTGATTTGCAACAATCTAAAATTGTGTTCTGACGTTTTTCTGCCTTACAGAAATTAAAAAAAAATGAACACTGACATAAAAGTACATTTTTCTTTCCCCTCTTACTTCTTTGTTCTGTCATCTTGACAGCTCTTAAAAGCTCAGGTCACAGCCTTCACATGCTGGCTGTATTATTATTGCACAGAGATCAGTGATCAGCTCTATTCATTGGTCTGGTCTAAAGCCTGGGGCAAGTCCAGCACATGCACTGCAGCTCACATGGACTGAAGGCAAGCGTGCGTCTGCAGACCCAGCAGTGGTTCTTTATAGTGCTTCTTGAGCTGCGCTGTGATTTATTGAGTCAGAGTGCTCAGGGCCGTACAGTATGTGAGCCAAAGAGAACAGAGCTTTTAAGTTTAGACCTCATATAAAACTCTGCGTGGGCCATCACTTTTGAGTGTTGTTCTGAACATTTGGGATCAGCAATAAATACACCTGACATAGGGCTGCAAACTCCGAGTTCTGTGAAAAGCTTTTCTCCAAATTCTGCTCCGTGAATGGCTTTAAAGCTTCAGAAAAAAACACATTAAATGCTCTGTGTCCAATTGACCTAATTTGTTCAATTTACAACGTTTTTTTTAAGGAGCTGGAATTCAAAAGTTATGCATGACAAAAGCTAAGAGCTCCATTTTTCCTCTTAGCTCTGTGTATTGCAGATGCATTTAAACACTTTAAATTTTCATGGTGCACAACAACATTATTCATGCCTCATACTGTGCAGTTGTGCTTCTCAGTACACTTTTGTTTAAACAGAAGTGGCTGAGGCTGGCTGTGTAGATAAAACCACACACAATCAGAGTCTTCACCTCATCCTCTCCTTTTGACAAGTGACCTACCTTGCCTCAAATATTGAGAACAACTCTTTGGAATACACTCCCTAACATCAATACTGTTTCTCTATTTGAGCAGACTCAGCAGTTCAAGTAGTCCAATGTGTGAAAATTAATGACCTGGCATCCCTTTAATGAATGCACATCATCGGCCACTTTTCATGGCATTATTTTAGACTAAGAGCATCTTATGTTGAGAAATTATGGAATTATAGCTAGTCTGGTCAAACCTTGAACATTGCAATGTCTCAGTTAGTGATCTGTAAGTGTTGTGACTGACTCTCAGCTACTACCACAACACACGTTAGCTCCTTATCAGTAAAATACATGAGGGGGTGGACAATATTTTTTCCAGAGGGCCAAATCAAGATATTTAAAAAGTTAAAAGGCCACATAGAGAATTGGAAAAAGCTTACTTGTTGCAGCGTAGTTAGCATGCTCAATAAAAATATGTGTCTCCAATACTCTTTAGGAATATAAGATAAACTTTCTAAAACCTGGTTCTTGTGACAATATATTAACTTAAATATGAAAAAAAAAATAAAAAAACATCCACTTATATGTTTGCTTTTTTAATCTCAGAGTTCATTCTAGTTTTGGAAACACAACGTAAATTTATTATTTAAATTTAAATATTTAATATGAATTTATTATTCACTGATGGGACCAAGATGGCCATCCCCAGAGCAGTTGTAGCTTCACAGGCTCCCAGTACTATCCCAGTTTTTAGAAGTTTTGATATTGACTCTGTGCCTGACTCCGCACAATTTATGTGTGTGAACTATAGCCGAACCGAATTGATGAGAATAGGAGCAGATTTGCTACGAAATATAGCAGAAATCAGCAACAAACTCAAAACTACGCTTGGCAGAATGCAGATCTTAAAGTCAATTACCATTGAAGCTGCAGCAGAGGCGTTCCAACAGGCAGAAGAGGAAGTGCTGCTCCCGGCTTATGAAGAGAGGACGCCGGGTGGGGGTTATGATGAGGCTACGAGCTAACTCTAAAGATGGAAAACTCCCGATGCCGTCTCACTTTCTGTCAAATGTCCGCTCGTTGGACAACAAGATGGATTTGCTTCCGTCTGAGAGCTGGCGCCTCAGAAGAGATGATGAAGTGTGCGGTGCTTTGCCTCACGGAAACATGGATGACAAGTGAAACGCCGGATACAGTCTTCCAGCTGGATGACGGACTTTTTTTTCGAGCGGACCGACCGCTGCAGCGAGCTAACGGGGAAATCATGGGGAGGCG